GGTTGGCTTAGTCTTTAGGGAAAAATCAAACAATTGAAATTTTCCAGTAATTATCGATACTTCTCATTCATTTTTTAAAGTGTTACTTTTCACTTCATTTCGGAAATCACGATAGGAAGTGATACTTTTATCTGTGCCGGTGAAAAAGTGAGAGAGTAGTAATTAATTCACAATGAGATGAAACTTTCACTTTTTCTCTGGCACATATGAATGAAATGCGTATTCTCTTCGATATTTTTATAAATAACACTTTAAAGCAAATTTTCGAAATATACCAGAGTTCACTACGATTTTTGATATCTGATTTTTCAATTGAAAAAAATGAATATTACGTGAATTGATGAAACATTTCAATCCTCAATTTTTTTTCTTATTAACTGAAGAAGCTTCGTTTTTTGCGACGCAATACATTAAGTTGTTTAACAATATTTCCATAAATAACGTCATAATAAATTTGGATAGAAAGGCTTCTTTGGCGTTTGGTTTCTTGTGTTATATCGTTGAGAAAAAAGTGCAATATCTTATCCAATGATCTCGAAACTCACATTGAATATTGAATTATATCCGACAGACATTTATGCAAGATACCTCACAGAGGTTAGGTTAGGTCTTGCATATGACTCTCGTTCATCCAGCTGGTGAACCACGGTGAAATCACCTGAGTAGGTAACCACAGGTCGGTTTCGAAATATTACCTCTCATCTGTGCAGAAAAGGTTCTACCCAAACAGTACTTTGCTAGTGATTCGAATAATTTTAACGTGGCTCGACTGCTTGTATGAAACCATCGTCATATAAGACGCATTAAGAAAACACCTTTGATGTGAGATTTATACTTGAAGGGTCTAGAAGAAACGTTGTTGACTAGTAACAGCTCTTGTGATCAAAGCCACAAGTGGGGAAGAACATCTCACGTACCAATACTCTAATAGAGATCGAAACTTGTCTGAAGTCTGTATCGAGGAGGGATACATAAGTATAAGAAGATGAATATTTTGAAATAAAATCTCCAAATATTCAGGTTCAGGTATTTCTACCAATAGTTCTATAGGTAGAAATATATGTATGTTGGTTTCAATGAACTGTACCTCTGTTCAAAATATCAAAATTTCAACCTCACGAAAAACAAAATATCTCCATGTACAGTGATTCCATTGTCACCTGGTATATTTCAGCTATTCATGAATCATTGAGGACATGATAGTGGTGATAGATTACAGAAAAAAACTTAATATTTTCTGACAAAGAAAGTGACTGATTAAACAAAGTAATGTCGTTTATTGGCATGTCAATATCAAAATGGTTATTATCTAGGATTGAAAATATTTGTTTCTAGTAGGTATGAAGCAATTTTTGGGGGCAATATTGAAATTTCCAAAAATTAAACAAGTGAGAAAGTAGGTCCAAGTGGTTTAATTGTCCCCTACACCTATTCAAATCCGACCAAATAATCAGCTCTTCAACGGGATTGATTACATCATTTTGTGATAGATCTTTCAGTTCAGCTAACAAGAGTAAGACGCTACCAAATGCTGAAAACGTGATTTGTCTCCGCTACCAGAACCTGAATTTCATTCTCAAGAATACGCCTATCTTAGATTGACATACCATGAAACATGTTCCTCTATTTAGCGAGAAGCTGTGACCATCTTTATCAGTACGTGAGCAACACAAATGTGTGGCTTGGGAAGTAGTTCACTCGTGATGCATTTCAGGGAGTTGCAGAGCTGCAAGTTACTAGCTGCAGCCACCATATACAACACACTAACCTGATCCTTTCAGGTCACCTGTAGCCATCCAAGCCTGAATGAGGAGTTAACTTTCGTCATTTTCGCTGTTCAAGAATTTGGTGCAGAGCAGATTCATTGAATGTTCTGCTTTCGAGGATGCGATAAGTTACTTCCTGCCTGCACAATCTAGCTGTCGGGATTCGTTAACAGAATCAAGAGTTGGTTAACTGAGAAACACTTTTGCTCATAATCTGATATCACAGAGAGGGCTGTTGGGATCATTTAGTGTATGTCCATTTTCTCTAAAAACACATGGCCGGTTTCTTTGCTAACTTTGTAGTCCATAAAGGATCAGATATTTCGACTCGAGTATATTTTCGAGCCCAATGCGGCATACAATACCTCTTGACGAAACCTATATCATTGGAATCTCTTATCGATTTACCGACTTATATTAATTTATTTGATTATTGTATAGTTCCACGTTTCGAAAATTATTCATCTGAATAATTCTTTTGAATTATAATGCATTGCTTTTTTGCGAAAATGCAACGGTTTGAATTTTATTTCTTTTGCGTGAACGGAACGACCAGATTTGCTCAAAAAGGACTGAGAATAACAAAAATAATTTATGACTCTTCTTTTTGAATTGATTCACTGCAAACCTAGAAGAACGCCACTGGCAAGAATAATATTTATCTAGTACAGCAGTTACTATCTTTCAATGTATTGAATATGGTAACTCTTTCATATGTCGAATTAATTTTCGTTCAACGCAATGTATTTGTTCACAAAGGGTTCTTTCAAATGGTGATTTTTTCCAATTCGTATCTTGAAGAAATTCATGTGCCTGTTTTGAGAATCTTTGTGAAGAGTTTAATTTTGGGAATTTCTCAAATTTTTTGTAAAAAATTAATGAAATGTTTGTATTGACTGAAATGATAGTACATTTTGGGGGAAAAACAATTTCCTGGGTTTCTAAATAATGATTGCATAAGATCTAACAGAGATAACAGATATTCAATGGATATCAAAACATTTATATTGATACATAAACTATTCTAACAAGAAAATTTCCTGGTGTAGGATAAGCCCAAACGATAACGTAATAGTATTTCTGTAGTACTGGTTTACTCAATGTCAAAGGTTCGATGTTGTTTGTGGATTCAGCAAGATATTTTCTTGATTAATAACAACAATGTTGGCCTGTATATGCAATTTTTCGAACATGGGTCATTGATGAACTCCGTAAAAACATGATATCAGACTGGAGTTAATGAAATCATCTATATAATGAGGAATCGGGAGATATTGTTTGTTTATGGTCTGAATCGAAACACACATAGTCAGGTTATCTGGGATTGCATAGATCCGCATGAAAAACTGCTTTTAGGACACAAAATTCATCAATTTGCCTCAGATTTGTACAATATCTTGAACAATTTGAGGCACGTTGCTTTGAATACCTATGCGATATTTTTTGAGCCCTTGCACAGTCGAAGACAAAGAGAAATAAAAAATATCGTACAAGTAAATGTGACTACTCCAGAAGGAAACACATTTTTGAAAAAAAGATAAACTATGATATTCTGGGAGCCTCGTTTCGAGTATTCTTTTTGAACTATTGTATCAACTAAAAATGATTACACTATATAACCAAAACTATATACAGGCCGTTTCTTTTATCATATGTTAACATTGCTATATTCTATACCGTAACAGATACGAAGACGATTACATGGGAATAAAGGTAACTGTCATCGGAAACAATACAATGGTCGAAGAAAATTTACGGAAACTCTCGCCCTTCTCGAGTTATACGAATCAAAAAAGAAGATGTTGTCACTGTGTATATTTTTCTATAGTGATATTTGCTTACTCATAATATTTATTTGATTCCTCACACTTCCAGTAACCACAAACTAATCGTCTAAACATTTGAATGTTCGGAATACGACGATTCGGGTATAGCTCAACATACTAATTCCTTGCCAAAAGAGGAATTCTATTTGATTTTGCATAACTAAATAGCATACCAGTCCTTTCATCATTTGAATACATTTTTGATATGTTCATGAACGTCTGACAGTTCTCAACAGATATCAACAACGCATTCTTTTTGCCTGCCATAGAAACCAAGCAAAGCCTGCGCGTTTAAGATGGTAAATGAATCGAGATGCTATTTGATCATACCAAATTATACAACAATCGAATTTTGACCAAAAACTGATATTTTCGTTACTTCCAGGATTGAGAATTATAAAAATATTATGAATTATAATTGATTAGGGAGAAATAGTCCTTGAAAGAAGGATTACGGCAATACAAAAATTTCCAAAACATAAAAGTACGAATTCTCATTGTGTGAGAGTAACTACCTGTCGAATTTATTGGTTTGTCTGAATTATATATTGAAAAAATCGAAACAATTTACAACAAAAGTAACGACAGGACCGTAATTTAAAATTGTTGTCACTGGTGATGGTAGTTATTTCAAATGAAACGCTATAAAAATATCAAATGTGATATACCCTTGTATTGTGAATTTATTGCGGTATCAATATCAGTAATAAAATGGACAGTTCCGTATTAAGAAAAAGATGATGGTTGCCATGTTGACACATAACGTTTCGTCGAATATTTATTAGAACATCATAATAGTACACTTCGAATACAAGAACATTTTTCTTTTCCATTTTTATTACGGTTTAGAATATAGCAATATTACCACATGATAAAAGAAACGGCCAGTATAATGAAAAAACACTTTGGTCCTTTTTAATTCTTTTTTGATAAAACAAATACAATTTTGATATTTCCCAAATTGAAGTTACGGTATAAGTATGGATGAAAGGTAAAACTGAAACTCCTGGCGTATTATGGATTGAAGTTAACTTAGTTGATGAAGAGCGCGTCAAAAAAGTCATGAATTTCTGGTGATTAGAAAAAGTATTCGTTTTTGAAGTTCATTTTGACGCTGCAGCTGTTAAAGCAAATGAAATAAATCAAGTCGCCCCGGAGTGCCAATAATTTATTGTTGGTGGTTCATAATTTCATGATTTGTAATACTTTTCTAATTGAGTTCAAGAATGAAAGTGCATTCATTAATTGGGTTGTAAACCCAAAATTGACTGTCCTAATTTCAAGAATTTTCAAAATTTATAGCTTACGATAGATAAATGAAACCACGACAGATTTTTCCAAATTCAAGAAGAATCTACTTGACAGATCAAGAATAAATAGATGATCTTCTGCGCTTTATTTTTTCCAGATGTTTCCATCCTCTTCCAACTTCAGCGTTGACATCTCGATATGCCTCTCAACAATCATCATCCTACTGTATCTCTACTGGACAAGAAACTTCAACTATTGGAAAAACAGAGGCATTCCTTACAAAAAACCAATACCTTTCTTTGGTAACATAAAAGATGTGCTGACTTTCAGAAAGAGCATCGGCATGAATCTCAAAGACATATATGATGAAATGGATGGTCCATACCTGGGAATATTCATCATGGATAAGCCTGCATTGCTTCTCAAAAATCTCGATGTCATAAAGAATATTTTGGTGACCGATTTCAATAACTTTTGTGATAGAACGTTGACCCAAAGAAAAAGTGATTTGGGTTCAAGTCTCCTTCCTTTGATGAAAAATCCTGACTGGAAGGCTTACCGAAAGCTGCTCACTCCAGCCTATAGCAGCGGAAGAATTAAAACTATGTACAACATTGTTGTTGATAATGGAGTAGAACTAGTGAGACACATAGCCAAAATAATGGAGAAAACTGATGTGATGGATGCTAGACATGAAGCTACCCTCTATGGAGCTGAGGTTATAACTTCAACAGCTTTCGGTTTGAAAGGAGACTGCTTCGAAGATGAGAATTCCGGATTCAAGAAAGCTGCTGAAAGAATTTTTGACTTCAACGACAGATCAAGGGCAATAGCTACAAGTTGCTACATGATGTTCCATTCGCTAGTTCATATCTTCCGATTGAAATTTGTTGAACCGAGATCTGAGAAGTTTCTCAAAGACGAATTCTTTAAGACTGTGAAGTATAGACAGGAGAATAATATTACGAGATCTGACTTCGTAGATATACTGATGAATCTAAAGAAGAATAATAAAGTTAACGAAGTTCAGATGGGTGAGTTAATGATATTTTATATATTTTGTCCCATTTGGTGTGCCTCCCCCTCATATTCTGCAGATGACAAGATTTGCGAGAAAAGGCTTCATTTTGGTACTTTTTGACGAGTGTCAGGCGTTTCCTAGAGGACGCTCCCAACTTGATTTTTAAATGAAAATGGGAGTTTTGTGATGCTCCGTTTGGAAGGTTTTCCAATTATCCATCTAACACTGTTTCATTTTTGGAAAGCGCGTCAACCATTTCTGAGTGAATGGCGGTTTTATATTCATTTCAAGAATCTTCAACTAAGGATAAATATCATGATATATAAAAAAATGTTATCAAAATTCTCTTCAGTTCCTTGAGCATAATTGAATATGTTTTATAAATCCATGTTCTACATTATGAAATGTATTTGGGGAAATTTCGTTAGGAGCGCCTCTTTTTCGATCCATGAGCTCTGGAATAGACCGCTGCTGTGTAACGTATAGTTTGAATTTAACAAATTCCCTACCAGAAAATACAACGACGTCATATCAGATGATCTATTGGTCTGGATAGTTATCACTTAGTCACTTTCGAACCATATCGTCCTAATAAGGAGGAATCTCATCATCAGTTGAAAACTTATTTGGGTTCTCAATTATCTGAACCGAAAGGTAGACAGACGTGGTCTCTGAGAAGGGCCTACTAGATTACCTGATATGACGTGTCTAGATATTTTGGAGGAGAACATAATATCTGAAGTGTACGATTGACAACATCTGTTCGTTTCAGATTTTGTGGATTGTAAAAGAGGGGGAATATTTCATGATGTAAGAAATTAACTTGTTAACATATTCAATTGTTGTCAGGAAGTTAATGGTCAATTTAAGATGAAATATTAAAAAAAAGTTTTCGATATCGCTAATACAAAAATATTTTTTGTTTATGAAGATTTTGGTTATGTGTATGCATGAGAATGAAAACTTCAAAGATGAGTTCAATCAATGAATCAACCTCATTCATCAATGAACAGAAAAAAGATTTCAGAACAAGGAATAAATGATGGCAGGATGGCAATAGGCAGGATGTTAACATGGATTGTTGGCGTTGTCAGTGACACGTCTCGTCTCTTGAAGATCCTGACTAATTTAGTTTCCGGACTTGAAGTGTCTTTCATTTCTCTTGATCGAACCTTTTCTGTTTTCTCATCCATCGTTTCCTTCCATTTTTCCCTTGATTCATTTTTCCCTCCATTCTCATTCTTACTTTATTACTTTTGCCTTCTCTTCACGTTTTCGTTTTTTTTTTTGGTTTTTCGTTTCACAAAATTGTCCACCTCCCAATATAGAAAATCAACTCACGATGTCAGCTACCAGTGCATTTCTAGGTGAAAATTAAAAAGCTCCACAACCTAAAAAATCAATTAAGAACTTTCTGGAAAGCACAATCTCACTTGTCTAGGTCTCCGAACGTACAGCTTCATGGGATTTTTGTCATTTGTTTATCCTGAATATAGGGAATTTTATTAGAAAAACAATGAGTCAGATAATCTTTTGATTACTGAAAGAAGTGCAGATCATATAAGTTGCTCATTTGTTTGAACTATTTTCAGATGACGAGAAGATGGTTGCTCAAGCCATAACATTCTTCATTGCTGGTTTCGAAACAACCAGCGCAACAATCTCTTTCTCATTATACGAGCTCGCTAAGAACCCTGAGATTCAGGAAAAGGTGAGAGAAGAAGTATCGCCAATATTTGATGAACATGAATTTATACCTTACGAAACCGTCAATACTGGAATGGCATATACAGGATGGGTAATGAAAGGTGAGTATTGGATATTACTTTTCACCATTCAAAAATGAAAAAAAAAATAATGATAAAACAATAATAATAATACGATTTTTAACTGATGTTAAGAAAAATGTTAATTATGTTATGAAAATTGAACACAGTCCTATTATTATTATTTTTGCACAAGCCGTTTCAGTTTTGATATAAAACTAGGATTGAGATTCTTACGAAAGATATTGGGAAAGCGGCAATTTTTTTTGTTCTTTTATGTAGTCATGATTGGTATTCAAATAATTTGATCTGGAAACATGTTTTTCACAGAAACATTGAGAAAATATCCACCAGCGCCCCATCTAAGTAGAACCTGCCTCAACAATTACAGAATTCCAGGAACGAACGATGTGATACCAAAGGGCATTCCAGTATTTTTGCCTGTATACGCTCTACAGACAGACCCGGAAAATTATCCGGAACCAGAAAAATTCATACCCGAGAGATTTTCGCCAGATAATGCGGAACACTTCAAAGCTTTCTCGTGGCTTCCTTTTGGAGGAGGCCCAAGAAGTTGTTTGGGTAAGTAATGAGAGTTCGATATAATAGAGTCCATAGTTTCAACTACTGAAATTTATAGGAAAAATATATTTTTCTTCACCAAAATAGGTTTTTTATTCGGATGTTTTGAAAACAGAAACGACTTTTAAAAATTCAGATATACCTTTATTGACTGCAAAAGTAATATAACTGAAATCAAAATTAGCCTGTTGACTGTGTTGTCCAGTGGCATTGACTGGAATGAAATTTCGAAACATTCATCTCGTCTAACGTTCCTGTGTAGCAGAATCTGATGAATGCATGCTGGAACACAACTTCTTTCCCAGTTAAAATCACGATGGGTATTAAATTTCAAGCAGGTTGATCAAGAAGCATCTGCAAGAATATTTCCAAAGAAGAAACTTGCATAAATGTCTGTCGAATATAATTCAATGTCCATCTTTGTATTAGCCGCAAAAATCAGTTATTTTTCGACCAACTCCTACACATCAAGAATGTCGGAAAAGATAAATGTTTCGAAATGGCATTTCAAATTTTTTATTTTCTCAATAGTAATATATTTAGATAAATGAGGCTTTCTACGGAGTGAATACAGGAATACAGGACGTTGCAATGAAAATTTGACCTTTCTGTAAGACAGACCTCCTGGCCGGTAGCAACTCTGGTGCTGGAAGTTACACGTCAAAAAATGAGACCTTGTTAATCTTCGTAGGAAGACGATAGCTGTTCAACGAATAAATAGATTGAATGGATTTTTTCACATTTATACCTATGGGTAATCGGGTGATATATCATTCTGAAGGTGTCTTATTAGACAAAACAAAATTCTGGCTGATAGGCCGTGAATATTATTCCTGTTGGTGCAAATTTCGGATATGCGGTTGGTTACCTCGTTCATGGGCAGATGAGGCGATGACAAACCCGTTGTTTGTTGTTCGTTTCAGCCTAGTTTGAGGAATGATACTCTGAAGGAATTCGACTTTATGTTGATGATAGAGCTTGCACTATCGAGTGGCCAAATAGCTCGAAACCGGTCTGCATGTGTGTTCCAATATTTAAAAATCTATTGTGGCAGTTCTATCGACAACAGCATATGCAAGAATATTTTCAGTGAAGAATCCTGCACTGGAACCTGTCGAATATAATCTAACGCCCTTCGTGGTATCAGCCAGGGGAGTATTTGTTTTCTGATAGGTGTCAGTCTATTAACTCACAGTGAAGGGAATTGAGACTGGCCTGAACAAATTGTTCCTTTAGATCATTTGAACTATAACAAGTCTTTCACTATATGTGAAAAATTGACACGTTTTGGTTGTTCCAAAAATACTCCTTTATTGTTTTCCATCGTAGTTTTTTATGATGCAGCTATAATGTATAATCCACCACCACCGAATTTCAGCCAGACTTCGGGAAAAATTGAAATACAGTAGTTTATTTATGAGTTCGTAATCATCAGGTATCACTACTATAGTAATGAAACTATTGTAATTTTGTTCTTCGCTCTAGATATAAATATTTCGATAAGGCTCATAGATTAAGTTGTTAGAAAATACTTCTATGTATTAATAATATATATTGCTTTCTATTGTACAAATAACACAAGTCTGCCAAAAAAGTATTGAGAGCTGTTTTGTTCTTTCGTGTAATTTTCATGTTTTTCGGTGTGCTGAATCCATAAATGATCTTCGTTTTATCACAGAATGTCACATTTTCTGAAAATGTAGGTATGTTGAAAAAGACTTAAAGACCTGAAAATCTATAATTGCGTGACAGAACTTCACTTCTATTTGAATTACATTCAGTAGTGAGCACTAAACCTTTTTTTTTTCAAGTGACAGCGTTCAACAGTAGTCTGACATCATTGAGATGCTTCATCTTCCCAGATATTTTTCTTCCATCTTATTATCTTTTAACATTCTTTTAACGATTTGTTTGTAGTTAGGGACTTTAACCTCTTTGAAAGCAATCCATCCACCCTTCTTTTTGAGAGGTTGGATGGTCTAATAAAAATACCTTCCTCCAACTTTGTCTCTGGGAGGCCTGGAAATTGAGAGATATTGAGTATTTGAAGCAATTTTCATCTCTTGGACTGACTTCACAAATCGCTTTATCAAACCCAGTTTTATGTGGAACGGTGGTGGAATAACTTTATGAGGAGGCACCAAAGTTTCATGTCGGACGTTCTTTCCGGCAAATTCAAGTTTCTTTGGAGGTCAACAGTTTTGGTCCAGTGATTTGCTCGGTCTCTAATATCCCACAGACTCAAGAAGCAAGGGAATTTGGTAAATTGTACTTATTCATTTATGACTCTTCCTCTGGTCTGGATTCCTGGTAACACTGGCTCCCTTGCAAAGAAGGGTGCTGCAAGTAGCTTCATTGGTCCAAAACCTGTCATTGACATTGCTTTAGGTTTCACCAAAAAAAATACTGGACACCTAAATGGCAAGAAGATTTAAAGACTTCTGGTAAAATCTTCCAGGATTGGCTCACTCCAAGGCGTTCATTCAACCTTCGATGCTTGCAACTTAACAGGCTTCCTTACAGGTCATTGTCATCTGAATCAGCATATGCAGAGACTCTGACTGTCGGAAGACAGCGTGTGTCGCCCCTGTTTGGGCGACATACATAGAGTGTATACTTTGTGTCTGCCACGCTGCGGATCGAATTAGGTTTTCCGAATTTGGTAGAACCACACTTCTACTATCTGACCTGAAGGATCACTCACTATACAAACTAATCGGCTTCGTGAACAAGCTGGGTTTCTTTGGTCGAGTTTGAATAGGTGTGAGCCACAATATAGCCTTGCGGGTTGCGGTGGAGGAAATAATATGCCCACTCACTTTTGACCTAACCTAACCCTACCTAGCCCAACAATTTTTTTTTAATACAGTTTTGTGTTTTGCAAAATAACCTGACTTTCTGGAATTTATTGAACATTTTTTTCTAGTTTTCAGAACACCTGAACACATAGTCAGCTTTTCTGTTGCAGACTTGTGTATTCATCGATAAATAAATCGACAAACCCCCCACCACTGGAATACGTACGAGTTTGCAGCACATTTCGAAATATACCAGTCTAGAAATTGATCCGCTTAGCACTTACAGTTCAAATTTCCTGTTTCAGGTGAAAGGTTCGCCACAGTAAGCGTCAAGTCAGCAATTGCCAACATAATATACAACTTCGAAGTAGAATTAAGCGACAAGAGTTTGTCTGAAATGGAATTCCATCCAAGGGCTTTTACCACTGCTCCAAAAACAATGACGTTACCTCTGAGGTTCAAGAAGATTCATAGGGAAACTACGAAGTATCCGATCAAGTTCTAGGAAATATAATTGAGGAATATTTCCATATAGAAAACGTTGTAATATATAATAAAGTTTTATTTATTAAGAATATTTGACTGTTATTTGTGTGGTAGTGATTGATTAGAGAATTTGAGATGCCAATATTGAATTTACGAACAACAGTTTCGTTTGTATAGAAATTACAAAAAAAAAACAAAGGGAACAAGAATCTCCACATACTGATCAGGTGGAAAGCTTTGTTACCACATTCTCTGTCTTCTGAAGTATCCCTCAACTTCGAATTGAAAATGATATGGCCTCATATATTTGAAAGTACAGAGTTTTCTTAGGCATTTGTATACTTATGCCAAACGACATTCTCTTTTACCTGTCATATGTAGATGAAAAAAAAGCAAGTGCATAACTCCCGAAATTTTTTATGAGCCTTGAGTATAAATTGAAAAAGATAGTTTATTGGAAAAGACAGGTTTTGTCTTTTCCAATTTTTCCAAACATTCGCTATGGGCTTCTACCAGATATAATTTATAGGAAAGCTAAAGTTTTCCTGTCATGTGATTTAATATGTATATGAAAGTAGTTGTTCCGAAAGGACTTTTTTCCAGTTTGTATTTGATATTAACTTCTATGCATAATTCACACATTTTGAACTCGGTTGCTACCTTCTTTCTTCTGAAAGTTTTCGATATTTGGAGAAGAAAAAAGCCAAAACCTTTTTTTCCCAAACTTGAGTATATTCTGAACTCTAGTAACACTGGGAGTGTAGTTTATTATTGATTTAGTTTTTCATTTTGAAATGATATCAAATTATTTAGAAAGATGAATATTTTCAAAATGTGATCAAATAACTTCATGTTTATGTACAACACACTAATCTCATAATTCCATTTTTTGAACACATTTCTTAGAACTACACGAATTATGAGCTAGTCTTTCATTTAACCCAAGAAATCCTACACTATATTTGTTTACTTTATCAATTCTGCGATGATTGTTATATGTAGTGTGGTGATTGTTATATTTTTCAAGGACAAAACACAAGCGCTACAGGAAAATCCTCAAGGCGCTCTTAGAGCGGTGCCTGTGCGAAAGTTGTGATTTACATTGGATTTGAATCGCAAGAGGTTAAATCCATTTGGAAAAATGTTCTCATCAAGCTCATTCCACATAAACGCCAATCTTCAAATGAAAAAGTTCTCAAACAGTGAAGTTTAAGGTATACTAAGTTGAACATCAAAACAATGAGCAGCCACAATCCGTCGCGTATTTCTGATATATACCGCTCTTGGTGGAATTGAATGTGTCAAGTCACTTGAAAACTTCCCGTGAGAGTACTTATAGAAGAGAGACAAAATTCCAACCTTTTTTCGATGTTCCAGACTCTCGAGGTTGCAAGTGATGTTTGCTTCTCTAATCAAGCGGATGGCTCTATTCTGGATGCAATTGAGCAGCTTCACAGTATGTTTGGGGGCGGAGCTCCATACATGAGAACAATACTCTAAAGAAGATCTGATCTGAGCTTTATAAAGCATCAAAAGTTGCTGAGGTGTGTACAGTTTTCTGTTTCGGAACACTGTACCTAGCTTTTGAGAAGCAGTCTTTGCAATTCCAATGACATGATTGTTTCAAGACATATTGGTGTGAATTTCAATCCCCAACAAACTTATTGAAGCAGAAAGTGAAATTGTCTGACCTGACATTATTATATCCGGTTCGGAAACACTTGTATTTTTTGGAGAAAACCGATGTCTGGGTTTTTGTAGCATTGAATTGAACCTGAATACTTTAAACCCAATTAAAAATTATTTCTAGATCTTCATTAAGATATTCAACCTCCTGCTGCCGGTGAAGATGTGCATCCGCAGCCGATGGAATCCAAATGCGCTAAGATGTTGAAACCTTCCAAATATTTGAGAATATGGTGGTTGAAAGTTTTCCTAATGATTATTGATATCACTGATAGGAAAATGACTGATCTCTAGTTATTTGGAAGAGTTTTCTTGCCCTTTTTGGGAATAGGCTGAACGCGAGCAATCTTTCAACAGTAAGGAAAGATCCCTTTCTTGTAAGACATGCTGAAGAGTCTGCAAAATACTGGTGCGAGTTTGTTTGCGCACTTTTTAAGATTGTGAAGCTCTTTGCCTTCATTTATCCTAAGTTTGCAGCTGTTGCAAGCATCAACAAACCTAGTTCGGTTTTCGGCACTGGGATTTTTGAACCACTGTCGGTAGGCGAGGTTTTTGGAGGCGACAGCTTGCTCACAATTTTTATTTTGATGAAAAAGAAATAAATGCATCCTTGGTGTCAGCTTATTTTTAAACAATTTCGATGAACAATATTGAAAGCTACGATTATGACATTTCTCATTTCGAAAGAGAGGGAGATGTTTCCCGAGTGTTCAGAACGAATCTTGTGTTGATTCCACAGAGGAAAGTTCCCTCCACTCATACTGGAAGCTGCAGAGAAAACAGTAGACAAATCTTGTCAGGTGGTCAATATCAAAGCTTGACTTTTTAACGGACCGCCTTTCGGAGCCTTATTGGACATAGGTGTTTCTTGTCAGACTCCCTGGTTAATCACATCGATGACGTCTTTGCATTTGTGAAATTTGAAAATTTTCGCTCTAACACTGATTATGCACCATTGCTAATATATTAACTACACCAGAGTTCCTGATCACAATTATCAAATAAGATATGAATTCAATTCCATTGAGTTACACCTATATCGCAACTGAACTGTATGGTGTTATTCCTCGCTATTCCACACACATTCATTCCATTCATTTACCTAAACTGTAACAATCTGAAGAAACCCTTTTTCCAATTCAGTCTTGCATATTATAATATATCAATTATTGAAATTTCTATTTTTACAGATCTGGGATACCTCGGAGCACTCTGCATCAGTACTCCAAACGAATCACAATAGACGTCAAGTACTCTTCTTCTTTTGTTTAGCCATAGAGTAGTTCTTTTTCGTAGTGATTCAAATGAAGTGCAAACAAAGTGATGTCAAATTCAGAATTGCTGGGCTCTCTGTGTATGTGTTTGGAGGGATTGTTGGAACAAGTGTTATCATTACCTGAACTTTGAACTGATACTATGTGTGGAAGAAAAATTCTTTAGAGAATTTTTTGGGGCCTGGCTTTGCCTAAGAACACACAGTAGTGATTTGAGTATTTCTTTATAAATCATCCATCTGGATGAATTTCAACGTTTGAGTTATTTCCAGGTATTGATTCAAAAGCGGATACTATAAAATCATATTTTGAATTAGTTGATTTCAGGTAATCGTAGAGTCATCAGAGTATTTTTCACAACAGTTTTTTTGTATTATAGTTCTGCCAGGTAAGAGCATTCAAAAGTATAAAAACATAAGAACCGATGCAATCATGAGCAGCATATAAACAGCCAAATTATAAAAACATGTGAAAAATAAAAACAAGAAAAAAGTAGAAAATCGACAAACTTGGAATACATTGAAACTTGAGCGCATTGATTATATGCGGTGGAGATTGTGTTAGATATGTCTTGCTGGATTATAATATATAAGTTCGAGATGGCTACTGCTGGGGACTGCCGGAGTCCCAGATCTCAAGAATAAGAGGAGTGCAAGAGTGTAAAACAAAAGCCTTGAATTTTCTGGATGGTTCCTGGAAATAGGATTTCGATCAAAAGCTATAAGGTTCAATATTATTACATTGGGGTATTATCCTATGGTTTAATAACCCTAAAAAACGACACTGCATTCAGTTACTTTTGCTATTGAACCACCGTAGTGATAGTTTAGATCCCATATTGATTATTAAACATTTTCATCCATTCATTTCAAGGTAAGGGTTGCAAACCCCTATTAAAACTCGCAAGAAAACCGCATTCCTTGTTTTATTGGTATGCTTGAAGTGTCTACAATCTCAGTGTAACTTACTTGGGCCCAGATACCATTTTTTCCACTAGACCGAGAAAGAAAACGTAACGAAAGTCCCAGAATGAAAATTAGCCAACTTATAGATATGAATAATCATTGATAAAATGTAGTAATATATGTTCACTACGTATGTGTGTAAGTACTCGTAGTATTTGAAATACTACGGGTATTGGATAGAAGAACTCATTTTTGTATGAAATCACTCGTACTTGTTGTCACTGGAGGATTATTATTCACAAAGAGAATTTGTACATCTGCTAAAATTTCACTCATAAGCCTAGACTTGGTTAGTTTATGCAACAATAATTCACTTCTCTCTGTAGTATGACAATTGCTTATTCCACCAGGTTGTTCATCAAATTCTTCACCATATTATATATGAAAATACTGTTTATAAAACTATTTCTGTGTCTGGTATGTGATTAATTTTATCATTATTATTGTGTTTATCATTCTCACATTTTGATATCATGCATTCATTCATATGAAGAAATTTCATGCACTGTGAGCATTTTGCTCTTTCTGATAAATGGCTTGGCATTGTAATAATAGGTCCATAAATGATTCTTTCTCATCTATTTATTTTCTGAAATGAATTTTAGCAGCGCTGTCACCAGATGCAGATTTCTCCGCATCAAATTTTGAATATTAAGGCAGGTCCGAAAAAGCTGTAGGGTTCATGCCGATTGCACGAAGGCCGGTCTTATGGAAACCCAAGTACACTGTGTACCTTTTTGAGATGGTTTTCCTTATAGGTTCCACTCCAGAACGAGACAGGAGACTAATACTTAAGGCTAAAGGCCTTTTAACTATCCTGAAATGGTGCGGGACTTACTCAAGCAGTGAGCCATTAAAAACAACAAGAAACTTCAGATTAGGCTTGTATTACAAAAGAAATAACTGTGTAAAAAAATATAACATGAAAATCCAACAGAACAATAATAAAAATATTCGAGTACGATAAAAATTTTACAAGAAAGCACGTCTCAAATAGCAGATTGTCAAACAAAAATTATCAGTTTAACAACTTGTGAAATGTTATATTACTCCCATAAGGTAGAATTCTAACTTACACGAAAACAATTACTCTATTCGAGTTTTGCGGAAATTTTGAAATTAGTATTTGAAATTGCCTGGCTTCAAACCCGTGCGTACTAATCG